TTTTAAAAATGTAAAATTTTAAATTAAAAAATAATTTTTATTTTAAATTTAAAATAAATTAATAAAAAATTAACATGTAACATTTACAATTAAAATAAAAATTAATTTTATTATTTTTAAAATAATAAATAATAATTAATTAATTAATAATTATTTATTAACCTATACTTGAAAAGCGTGATAAATTAAATAAATAAATGGAAATAACAGATTTTTCGTGAGCTACTGTTATTAAGAAACAAAAAAAAGGGCGATTTTGATGACTGAAAAAAAGTATTTGATGCCGGTGTCCGTGTGCTTACACGGGTGAAAGTCACTAGATGCATGCCACCCACGTGAATATGGACACACCCATTAATAAAGATGCAAGTGAAGCTTAGGCTGCAACCTGCAAGTTATTGGGTGGCAATTGGCATTTTGGTATATAGATCATTTGAAAATATTGTATAATACTATTGAAGAGATTGCTTCAGTTGAGGAGGTTTGCTCCATTCTTTGTTGATGTTAGACAAATTGAAATCAACTTTTACTATTATCATTATTATTATTTTAAGTTACACAATAAGAAGAAACCTTTTTTCATTTCTTAATTTACTCCACTTATGTACCATGTATTCAAATTTAAGATTTTTCACTTTTATTAAAAGTAGATTATATTAAATTACTTAAATTCTTGGCATAATTCAATTTTTAAAAATAAGATATTTTAATAATTTTTAATAGCAATTTATTGAAATAACATAGTTTTATGATTATTCTCCTTTTAATTTTTAAGAGGTAAGGTAGATGAACAATTTTCTTAATATATAATACATATAGTGTTACTCAATCACAAAAGGAAAAATACTTTTCTGTTGAAAATGATCTAGTTTTTGATTGAATGATGAGTAATCTTATCTTAAGTCAATTGGGAAAATGAAAACTTAAGTAACTTAATGATAATTTTTTTTAATAAAAATAAAAGATTTTAACTCGAATCACATGATATATGAGTAAGATAGGTCAAGTGATAAAAAAGAGTGTCATCCATTGCATAATTCAAGATTAAAAAAATTAAAAAAATGTTTATTACTAATTCAATATAAGCAATTGGATTCAAAATGTTACGTAATTGTAATTGTAGAAAAAGTAGTACAAATTAATGTATATATGGTAAGTGCAACTTTATTGACTAACAGGTTAGGTTTTATACCGCCATAAAAAAAGTAAGGTTTTCTTCCACTTGCTATATATTATATACTCCATATACCAAGAAATTTAAAATATATATCTAATCTTAACAGAATAATCAAATTTTAAAAAAGTGATTTTTTTTCCCAAAACGAAATGGATACAGCAGAGTGCATCACAAGATCAGTGAATATTTTTCTAGTAAAGAGAATTTTAGTGTGTCATAGTGACTGGGGATGACACTTGACAGGCAGATTGGCAATTTGGCAGGGTCACAAAGCACACACTCTAACTTGCTTTAGTTTGGGTAGATTATGATTATCTTATAAATGACATGGAACCAACAAGACCAAACAACTTATTTTTAGTTGCCTCAGGGTTGACTTTACTGACTCAAATCCTAATGTTTAGCTGTCACAGTGGAGTAGTATACTTTGCAAAGAAGAGGTCCTTTTGTTTTTGGCCATCAAAGAAGAGTTCCTTTAATTGCCAGTCTTTATTCCAAATCGAAGGCTTACTTTTCCTACTGCAGATTTTCCTACACGAGCAAGATACAGGATAAGAATTATCTTACCCTAAATTTATGAGGATTCATTAATGCAACAACTTTAGGATTAATTAAGTCCGAAGAAACCTTTGTATTGTTTTCCTTGATTTCAATGATTATGATGTTTTCAAGTTAGTTTATGTTTATTTTGAGATAATTTTTTTATGTGATTGCAAAAGAAGAAACTTTTATATGTTTTGCTAAATGAAATCTGTACTACCTTTTAGACTTTTGTATCAACCATAGGATGATGGACAATTTTAACATAAGGTCACATGAGATATCAATTTGTTTTTTAATCACTTAATCAAGATCTTCTCTTCAATTCGTTCTTGGAGCTGATTTCAAAAATGGAAGTTTGTGATGGACGAAGTGTTTAGAAAATGGAAGACTATTTATTCCTATTTCTTAGTGTATAACCTATCGTATCATAATAAAACCAGGATCACTTAATCAAAATGGCAATAAGTAACTTCAAGACAAATGGCAATTGAGATATGTACATCAGTCATCAGGGTGACATGAGCTTTAAGTCATGATTCTTATGCAAATTAAGAAGAACGGGATTGGTTGTTTATATATATGGCTAGAATCATATTGCACTCGATAGTATCTTAGCAAGTGGCATGATTGTCTCCTATCTTTATCTTTAAATATTCATTCTGGTATAAGTCTCCTTTTAATTTTCATACTGGTTAGTTTGGTTTTGAGCCAGTGGCAGGCAAGGCATGCAATGTCTTAACTCTTAATCAGGACTTGACATCATAAAATGGTGCTGCTTCTTTACCCACATGGATCATTAGTGAGCAATAAAAGGAGAACCACATGATTTGTAAGAGCTGATATCACCAAAAGACCCACTCAGATTTCAGGAAACATCTTCTGGGAGACATTTAAAGTGATGTGATGCAGGATGTCAACAATGCCCTACCATAGAAATCTCGTTCAAACATGACCAGAACAAATAGGCAAAACCAGAAAAGAAGTAGGGTAATTTACCTCACATGAAAGAGGCAAAGAGACAAGAAGATTTATAGATGAATGAGATGCAATGGCTTCTTCACATGAATTGGGTCCCATAATTGACCAGCTCATATGGCTCACAGAAATGGTGTCTGATCTTTCTAAATAATCGCAGAAAAATATCTGAATGTTTCTTGTAACTGCAGGATGCAACCTACTTGTCAGTAACATAATTGTGTTTTTCGTAAATGCAAGCTTGGCTTGAAATGAACAATTTCACAACCCAAAAAATTTAAGTATTTTATTAATGAGAATAAGGTAAGGGGTCTTAGTTATTGTTGTTGATAATTCCTTATATTTATTGTTTTTTTTCTTTTCTTTTCTTTTCTTTTCTTTTCTTTTTTGGAGTGGGGGTAGGTTGGGTTTTGCTCCATTTGAAGTGAGTATTCTATTCTTCACCAGAGAAAAACAAAAAGAAAAAGGGAAAAAGAAAGCAACAAGAGATAAGAGAAGATGCATAAACTTTATGATCAACTTTTCATCCCCTGGTGCTAGTGGTTTGGATTCTATGGAATTGATAGAGAAAGCTGTTTTGGCCATTTTCTGATAAGAATTCAAGTCTATCTGCTAAGGGCCGGGCCTACAACAACCTTTCAACCTTTTAAATCTGTGCCTCATACTGTTCATCCAATATCTAATATCCATTCAATGCTATAGGAGATGATATTTACCCCTTTGGCTTCATTGAAATTGGATTCACAGCATTCTTGGACTTTGAATTCTACATTTCCATTCATAGAAAATGGATGGTGCTTGCCTTTGCAATTTTAGGGAAAAGTCTAAGTTTATATTAGTAAAAAGGGTGGAATAACAATAAGAAGATTAAGGCCAAAAAAAATAAAAAAACAATAAGATTGACTCCAGTTTCCAATTTTATTTAAGTACAACTGGGTTTATGGTACAGAACGTAACTCTCCAAACTCTCACCGTTCTTCATATATAGTTATGTACATGAACTTGCAAACAAACTGAAAACCAGAAGTACCTGCTTAAAACGGGCATTCAAAAAAGGGGATGAAAATCAGTTTATACTTCAGCTAAGCACTCTACCTTGCGAGGAAGCTACAGGAAATCCTCCTCTTATCCTACTCTGCCCTGCTCTTGAAGGGTATAAATGGGGGTGGTGATGAATGCAACCTCAGTGATCTACTGATTTGAGGATATTGTGGGGATTAGTTGAAGACTGAGCTACCATGCACTGCCAAGAACCAATTCAAAATCATAACCTACAGACTTTATGAACTTTCATGGAAGTTGATTGACCGGGACAATGCTGCTGGATTTGCTTGTAAGACAGGAGAGGCTTCAAGAACTGGATTCTTGTCATCACCTTTGGACTGAAATGCCTTGAAGAGTCCTCCACCACCTATTGGATTGACCTTGTCATTCTTAATTCCTAGTGTTGCCCATATGGAGCTCCTTGCAGCTTCTCCTGGATCATCAATCCTCAATGTTTTTGGAATCCAGAGGCATCTCTCAGAATTACTTTCTTTTACTGGCTCCTCTTCTTCAGAGTTGCTTGGTTTGCCCGTGCTCTCATCTCTTGAATGTTTCCCCAACGTGGGGGAATTAGGAGCAGAGCTTGAAGCAGTTTGCTTTGGGGAAGATGATTGAGGAACCCAAGGTACACCCCATGTGCCTGGCACAGTACAACCCCAGTAAGCTGCTGCAGGATAGAATGGCATGGGAAAACCAGGGGGGCAGAAAGCAGGTGGGGGTACTGGAGAGCTCCACTGAGTTGAATTCCATGGGTAAGGCCAAGGAGCCCCAGGATAGCATGGTATATGAGGTGGGAAACCCTGACAGGGCCGTACCATTTGATCTTGCAACCTGGCTTTGCCCACCTCATCCTTTGAAATTGAAGCCAGGACAGAAGATCCATTTGAATGCTCACCAGCATTTTCTCCACCTTGATAAGAAACTGGAATCTTTAATTCTTCAGGCTTATGAAATCCATTTCGTGCGCAATTCCTCATTGTCTTATCTGCAAGGTTCAAAACGGAAGCCATTGATTCACAAAGGGGTGTGTCAGAGCCAAAAGTGAGAACTCTACCATGAGGATTTAGTGCAGGATGGTGGAGTCCATTTGGAACATCAGTTCTGGCATTTTGAAGTGCTTCAGAAACAGTTACGTGACGGTGGTGAGAAACTGAGTTCTTGTTCTTGCGACGTCCAGCACCAACAGGCACGTTCCTCATGGTCCCACCAGCTGTCCAGTATCTCTGGCAGTTCTTGCAAAAGTGTCTGGGCTGGTTGACATTATAGTTGTTGTAGTAACAGAACTTGGTATCCATACTATTACAGCGTGGGCATGGAAGAATCTTGTCAGGCTTCTTCAATGTCTTTTCCTGTGAATTACTTGTTTCACTTTGATCCTCATCTGTTTTTGAAGTTTTTGATGCAGAGCTTTCCTTCTCAGCTGAAGGGGTTTTTGAGTTCTCATTTGGCCCTGAGTTAGCTTCTGGATTGGCTGACTCCTCAGAAGTAACCATTGCCACTTCATCTTCATGTTTGGCCACATCTTCATCTTCCTTTCCACCTTTAACTTCTTGTTTTATCTCAGCATCTTTATCTCCCAGCATATCCTGAATTGATAATTTATAATGACAAACGTGAGAACTAAGTATATACTTAAAATGGAAAAAATCAGCTTTAGAGGACTAATAAGTATCATGTGCATTAAGGACTAACACTATATATATATGTATATATATATATATATATATATACTTTTTTTTTCCTTTTTTTTGTTTGCTAGAAAAGACCTTCAACGCAAAAGACAACCATCAAATTCTGATGGCTACAATTGAAATTAGATCAAAGAAGGTACTCAATAACTGACAGCTTTATACAACTCAAGTATTTAGCTAGCCAAGATACTGTATAGACAGAATACTGACCTGATATCTTGCAAGACATATTAGGGTCAAAATGGCCAGAAGTAGGTAGAAAATATATTTTTCACTTTTTACCTATGATATCTTGCCCAAGGGCAAAAATATATACAGAATCGGTTAGTACAAATAGATGGTGTGGTGTAGGTAATTTTCTTTGGAATGAGCCTTAGATGTTTAAATTCACAAATTCTAAACATCTGCACTCTTACTAGATAGGAAGTTACCATAAAACCAAAGACTCATTCATTTACGAAGAGGGAAAAATGAATCCAGAAGAAAGTAAAAGTACTTCTGAAGAGCACAAAATACTGGAGCAAAAACTGAAAAGTCCAGTAGATTATTCACTGAAGCCCAGAGAGATTTTGACAAAACACAGCTCAAATCTAGAAAGTAGTCAACCATGGTAAACAAGCAGCAAAAAGCATGTAACAAGGGATTTTGAACATCAACTAAGAAAAAAGACGAGGGGGCTTCAAGATATGCTTTTAACTTTAGAAATCATGCAGGAATTTTCACCTTTCAAGATGAATAGATATGTGAAAACATACACAAAATCCTGAATCAGCATCCAAAATGAATGCAAAAAGAAATGAACTATGATTCAGTAGTGACCAGAAAGCAGTGACTAACCGTGATGATCTATATACACAGAAAGAAAAGTTGACCTTCTCAGGAAAATAACCCAATTGTGCTTATAAGCAAAAACAGTTAAAAATCCAATTAAAATTAACAACAACAAAAACAAATAGTTAATCAGGAGAAAATTGGACATAAAGTCAGCTTACTACAACATAGCAACACAAAATCAAACCAAACCCCCCTTTAAAAGAAACCCCTGATTTCAAATTCAAAGCCAACCCAACAAAATCACACCCCAAAACTCTCAATAACCCTTCAGCAATGAAACCCCCCCACAGCAGCACCCATGAAGAAAACACCCAAAACCAAGCAAAACAAAGGTTGACCCATTAACCATTTCCTTGTTCTACATAATTGGTATCCCTCAAAATCCCAAAATTGTTACCTTTTGGTCTTCTCTCTCCTCAACTCCATTGTTGCTATTATCCTCTGGTGAAGAACTCGTTGAGCAAACTCGCTGCTCATCTTGATCAAGATCATCATCACCAGAAGAAGCAGCTGCAGCAGCAGCAGCAGCTCCTTGAAATACCTCAGGCAAAGGAATCGTCTTACCAAATAACTTGATCGCCGGGTCTTTCGTCTCCAACATTTCTGTTCTGCGCTATATTCTGTGTCCTGCCTTTTTCCCCTCCCTCTTTTTTTTTTCTGAAGATAAAAACTGGAACTTTCTAGAGAGAGAAAGCTGTAGAAAAGTAGAGAGAGAAAATGAAGAGATCTGACAGACACGGGATGTTGGGAGTTGCCTCGTGGAGTGTACGTTTTTGATCCGTTTAAGCGGGGGTGGGGTGCCACGTCAGCATAAAGGAGTGATTCTCAGCCACAAGCTCCTTTGTGGCCTTAAAAGATCTTTCTCTTTCCTCTCTTTTCGATTCTTCTCCTTTTTCTTTCTGAATCCTAGTCAGCAATTCCGCTACTTTTTTTATACTAATCCCTATTACCAAACAATCGCCAATCTTTCCTTTTTTTTCCTTTTTTTTCTCCTCGCTGTTCTGCGTTGTCAATTCCTCGGGGGGGGGGGTATGGTATGGCTGAAATCTTTCTTCCTTTTCTTTTATCTTTTTCAATGTTAATTGTGGCTGACATTGATTGGAGGACGACCCATTTGCTCCACTTTCTGTCGCCTTTTTTTTTTTTTTCGTACTTTTAGTAGGTATTAAAAAAAGTTTGGTGTTTAAAGGGGGTGTATCAAATTGAATGTTTAAAATTTTAAATTAAAAATTAAAAATTTTTATTTTCAAATGAGTTGGGAAAAATTAAAAGAAAAGTAAATTATTATTGTTATATAATTTATTATTTAATGCACTTAATTAAATAGATCTCATTCATTTAATTAGGGAGCACAATAACCGAGATGTTAAGATTAAAATTTTAAATTAAAAATGATATAATTAAATGTTACTTAAAATTATAAATTTATAATAATAATAATCTCATATTAAATTTGTGAGATGAATAATATTATATGTAATTTTTAAATAAAGAGTTAGAGTATAAAATAATATTTAATAATTATAACTTTATAATATCACACAATATTAAAATAATTTATTTTTGCTTTTCATTTTATCAATAAAAATATTACTTCTAATAGTAAGTTAATTGGTTAAAAATATACCATTTCAAATTATAAATTTTAGTTTTGAAATTTGAGTTATATGAGAAAGAATTTGAAAAGTAATTATTCTCTTTTATATAATTTGTTATTAAATGAAAGTTAGTGGATATCAGTATTTATTTTCAAATAAATTAAAATTTTAATTTATATTTAAAAATTAAAATTTTAATTTAAAATTTAAAA